GGGGACGGTGGCAGGGCAGGGGGGCCATGGCGGTGCCGTGCCCTGACCTGCAGCCTGTCCCTGCAGGGCTGAAGCAGGAGCTGTTCCACCGGCACAAGGAGGCCCAGCAGTGCTGCCGCCCCCACAACCTGCCGCTCCTCCGCGCCGCCCAGCAGCGGGAGATGGAGGTGAGGGGGGGCCCGGCCGGGTCCCTTACCTAGAGGGAGGACACAGCCCCTTTGCTGCAGGAGCATCCCTGCATCTCCAGAGGGTTTAAGTGGTCATGTTCCCTGCCCCCCTGGCAATCTTGGGAGCCATCAGCCGTCCTGTCTGGCCTGGTTAGCACAGGCTGAGGTTCCCCACTCCTAATTGGGGGTCAACTCTTCATGTTCTACCCTTTGTCCACCTCCTAAGAGTGGGGGGGGGCAGGCTCTTGCCATCTAGGATGGCTGCGGTCCAGGCATGATCTGGGAATTGCAGAAGTTCAGGAGTACCCCTCCCACCAAGGAGACTGATGCTCTAATGAGTCTTTGCTATAAGACAGGCTGAAGCCTGTGTATGGATAGAGAGCAAGTTGATAGAGAACACAGAGAAGGTACGTGAAACCTGCCATTACATCATAGCAAGTAGTAAGCAGAGATTACTCAGAAAAATTCAGATTTTACTTAGTAGCACTGATAAGGAGGAACTACGTTGAGATACCTAAGCATGGAAGTAGTTTCTGTGAGCATCCCAAGGCACTTCGACACGAGCGGTAGGTTCAGTCCCAAAGGTCTTATCTCTACTTTGGTGATAAGATAGAGGCAGATTTATAATGTAGAGGAAATTGCAAGTAGCTAGTTCCATTAGTCGATGGAGTTTACAGGGGAAGTTACTTTACTCCACATAAGGCAAACAGATAACTGTTTAAACACAGGCTCTTTTCTGACCTTTACCTGTGACAAGCACCGTGTCAGCAGTCACTCTTGGATCTTTCATCTTGGTATTCCCACATCCCTCATTTCCCATCAAGGTGACTAAAGCCAGGCAGGACCTCTGTGAGCTATCCCCATTACTTCTGTCTCTGAGTAAATTAGACTTGCAGCAAGTAATAAGCTACATTACCTGTTTTAAAGCATTTCCAATATTGTCTTTGCTCATTAAGTAGACCATATATATGTCATTTCTCCTTGTCTTACATGATATGCAACTTCTTCCTACATCCTGAAGCGCTGGAGCGTGTCCAGAGGAGAGCCACCAAGCTGGTGAGGGGTCTGGAGAACAAGTCACACGAGGAGAGGCTGAGGGAACTGGGCATGTTTAGTTTGGAGAAGAGGAGGCTGAGGGGAGACCTCATTGCCCTCTCCAACTCCCTGAAAGGAGGGTGTAGAGAGGTGGGGGTTGGCCTCTTCTCCCAAGGGAATAATGACAGGACCAGAGGAAATGGTCTGAAGTTGGGGCAGGGGAGGTTTAGATTAGATATTGGGAAGAATGACTTTACTGAGAGGGTGGTCAGGCCCTGGCACAGCCTGCCCAGGGAGGTGGTGGAGTCACCATCCCTGGAGGTATTTAAGAAATGTGTAGATGTGTCACTTCAGGGCTTGCTCTTGTGGCTGAGATTGTTGGGTTGGGTGTTTTGTTTTGTGTTGTGGTTTGGTTGGGTTTTTTGTTTTGGTTTGGTTTGTTTTGTGTGTGTGTGTATGGTTGGACTCGATGATCTCAAAGGTCCCTTCCAACTGTGAAGATTCTGTGATCCTGCTACTTTCCTTCTGCCTTTATTCTCTTTTCCTTTGCCAGAAGTTACTGGAGTTACTTCTTCCCTTTTTATGCTTTGATATTTCTGCTGCAGAGCATTTCAGACATAGATCATAGAATCACAGAATTGTCCAGGTTGGAAGGGACCTTTAAGATCACTTAGTCCAGCCATCAACCTAACCTGAGATTAGACACATACCAGTTGTTACTGAGATGGTCAATCGAGCTGCCCTCTGTGGTTAAAGGTTTGGAAGAGCAGCTCCCATGAGAGAGCTTGGGAATGGGCTCCCGGGGCGGTAATACAAGATGAAGTTTTTAGGTGTTTGGCTTCCTAGTGGACGCTTTTAAAAAAAGCTTTGCCCATCATACAGGGTCACCAGCCACCAGAGCTGAAGCAAACACTTGTGTTTAAACCTTACTTTTCTCCAGGATTTTAGCACTTTTCTGTAGCCCGGAGTCAGGTGCCAGCCCCAGACACTTAAAACCCAGAGAGTCACTCCTCCAGCACAGTAAATGGAGGGGATGATGGTGCGGTGTCTCTTTCCTCCCAAAGAGGAAGGAAAGTTTTTGGGAAACAAGGGGTTTGAGTCCTTCGTATCTTCTACAAAGAGCATGAACCTCTAGACTGAAGAACGTGTAAGGACAGAGCTTTCTTAGTTTCATTAGCATCCCATACAGAAGGAGACAATTAGTCCCTCTACCTTCCCTTTTATTGAAACTTAAGTTGCCTTGAATTTATTCACATTGATTCTAATCAGATGCTGCTCTGAGTGTTTCTGTGGAGCAGCTGAAGTACAGTAATCTTGGTGGATCACAGTGCTCCTTAATAGCATGTAGTTCTGCAAAGCTTTCCCAAACCTATGGACTTAATTAAAAATGTGAGATGCTACTTGACTGCTGTACATCCAAGAAAGGTTACAGGAGGTAGCTCCTGCTCCATGTAAGTAATAATTGCTCTTGGTTTTGGTCAGATCTTTTGCAGACTAGTATGTCCGTGCTGTGGACAGACCTTGGCTCTTTTCCAGACTGTTCAGGACTGAGACCTCTGTCATTCAAATTCCTGATTTTTCCCCAGGACTCGTAGCAGCGCACAGGCTTCTGGCTTCTCTCTGGGATGAACCTGCCCAGCTCTTGTAAACCACCAGCTACTGGCACAAGAAATCCCAGGGGTTGTGACTTCTCCCTGGCTGTGCAGTGAGGATAATGTACCCCTGTGAATATTTCCAGCTCGACACCTGCCTCTGTTTGCTGTGTTACAAAGGGGCAGAGCTGCACAAGTGGAATGTTGAAACTTGTGCCATTCATTTATTGGAGGAGAAGGACCCTTCCTTTGTATTTAGATGGGGCTTGGTGCTTCCTGACTTCCCCGGTGTCCTGCTCAGTGCAGCCTGGTGAGGTTGTGTTCCTTCGCCTCCACACACACGTGGCTTTTTATCTGAGCTGGGCTCTCATTGTTCCCTGCAGTCCTTCTGCTCTCTTCTCCCCTCTCCAGCAGTTCTTGGTAGGTTGAGGTTTCCTCCAGAGCTGAGAAGCAGTGTCCCTTTCTGCAGCCAGCAGAACGTGCGAGTGCTCCTGGAACATCCCCACCACTTCTGATGGCCAACGTCCCTCTGATGGAGCAAACAGTCCCTGTGCTCTTGTTTCTTCTTCAGAGGAGCAGTGCAGAGGTTTCTGCTGAGCTTCAGGCAGATGTTGGCAAGGCAGGAGGGGCTGTGTTCTCCTGCTTGGGGCTCTTTTGCAAAGTCCTCATTTGGTAATGTTCTCAGTCTGCCCAAAATAGAGCCCCAGCATGCTGTAGGGACTTCAGTGTGATGTTGTTAATACAAAATAAACTAGCTTTCCAGTGGCAAGGTTAGGTTTTTGAGGAGTTTGGATCTTTTGGTGAATAAATGGAGTCTGGGTGTGATTTACAACTCCAGCTCTGTATGTTAGTGTCCGAGGAACATGGAGGCTTAGGAAGGTGTCCGAGCTGGCACCTTGGTGAGCTTCGGTGGCCTGTGTTACTCCTCCAAGTCTTTCATCAGCCTCACCAGCCCTGGGAGGGGGATTCTTGGACTGCTGACTTCTTTGGAGCCCGTGCTGGTGGAGTGCTCAGCCAGAAGCTGCTGCTCGGAGGTTGGCTCGTCAGGAGAAGTCCTTCAGATACTGATCTGTTGCTCATGGTCTCTCCTGGCACCTCCAAACACACAGAACAGAGGCTGGTCCCAGTGCTTTCCCTGCGCTGTCTCAGTAGTAGCTCGCCATGGGGCATGGCAGGAGGCGAGGGCTGGGGGTGCTTTGCTGGCCCTGCTGCCCTTCAGGGTCCAGTCACGCTTTGGTTTCAGAGGTGGAAAAAAGACCAAGGCAGATATTCCACTTCTTTTTTTTCTATTTCACTGAATTTTTAGGGTTGGAAGGGACCATAGAGATCATCTAGTCCAACTCCCCTGCTGAAGCAGGATTGCCTAGAGCTTGTCAGATCATGTTACTCAGGAGCATCCAGGCGGGTCTTGAAAATCTCCAAGGAAGGAGACTCCACACCCTCCCTGGGCAGCCTGTTCCAGGGCTCTGTCACCCTCACCGTGAAGAAGTTTCTCCTCATATTTGAGTGGAACCTCTTCTGTTCCAACTTGTGCCCGTTGCCCCTCGCCCTCTCACTGGGAACCACTGAAAAGAGTCTGGTTCCCTCCTCCTTCAACCCACCCTTGAGATACTTGTAGGCATTGATAAGGTCTCCCCTCAGCCTTCTCTTCTCCAGACTAAAGAGTCCCAGCTCTCTCAGTCTTTCCTCATAAGGGAGATGCTCCAATCCTTGAATCATCTTTGTAGCCCTACGCTGGACTCTCTCCAGTACTTCCCTGTCCCTCTTGAACTGGGGAGCCCAGAACTGGATGCAGTATTCCAGTTGTGGCCTCCCCAGTGCAGAGTAGAGGGGGAGAGTGACTTTTTTTTTTCATCCATTGGCTCTTACCTTTTTCAGGCTGTGGAGCAACGAATTCGAGAGGAACAGCGAATGATGGATGAGAAGATAGTCTTGGAACTGGACCAAAAAGTGATAGACCAACAGAGCACGTTGGAGAAGGCTGGGGTGTCTGGCTTCTACATCACCACCAACCCACAGGTGGGTGTTTAGGCAGTGAGTGTAAGATCTGCCACTACTCTTGTGTTAATATATTTTGTTTGTTTAAAAAAAAAAAAAAGTCTTGCTTTTAATGAGTTCTGAATCGCTGGGTCAGAAAGAATAGTCTGTCCTTGGCTCATCTGCAGATGGGCAGCGTGTCCTGGGCAGAACCTAGTACCAGGTTCTCAAGAGAGGAGCAGAAATCCATTGCATGGGGCAACATCCCCACCTCTCCGCAGTGTTTTCCCCCTGTGGAAGGAAGCAGCGCTGTGCAAACCGCCTGCAGCCCCGTGACTCTTGAACAGCTCTGAATCATACTAAAATAAGGGGCTGCGTAGGTTTATAGCTTTTGTACCTAGCTTAGCTGTACAAATTGCCTTCAGGAATTCTTTTTATTAGGCATTTTGTTAATTCCTGCATGTGATTTACTGGAGATGATGATCTTAGACTGGGATTAGAAAATTGTTCTTGGTTTCCCCAGTGCATCTGCTCTTAAAACTTGTGAGCAGTCGCCTGGGTTGTTCTCTGTTGTCTTAACACCACCGCAGGAATGAAAAAATAGAATTTGTATTGCCACAGAAGTTTGCAGGGAATGCAGAAACGGGCTGTTCTTAACTGTGTTTTTTCAGCTGATTAAATTTTACTTTGATAAAGACCTACTAGTGAGAACAGACTGCTTAAACTAACTTAGTTTAACAGGCATTTCCTAAAGCCCACATGATTCCTGGTTGTGTAGCCTTGAACAAGCCTCTTATTTTTCCTGTGTTGCTGTTCCTCATCTGCGTAACGAACAGTTCGTTCTCTCCCTTCCCGACCCTGCTTTTTATGTTATTTCTGTAAGTAATAACTCTTAACAGGGTTCCTATTTGCTGGGTTTTTTTATGTTTGCCTTTACGATAGCTGGCAAACCAGACCCAGACCTTGGCTCGGTACCTGTAAATCCCACCATCGTGTAAGAAATCACTGCTGGAATCTGTTTTCTGTGCGTTTCCCATCAGTTGCTGTGTTTCCTTTCAGTCTGTTGTATAAAATGCCTGCCATTGGTCTAAAAATCTGTTTTTGTAAAAATATTTCCATAATGTAACGTCTGCAAGCCTGAGTCACAGAACAGGGGTCTCTGAATTAGCTCCTTCACCAGGTCGTTTCTGTGCTAACTGGCTTGTGAGCTAAATGTAGCTAAAGAACAAGCAGATGACAAGGAAACCATCAGCTGAGGGTGATGACTACAGGGGATGATATCTTCCTTGGAATCCAGTCACAGAAAAGGGAGTTTTTGAAGGGGAATCAAATACTTACAGGGAATTTGATACACCACCAGAGCAGCGTGTTGCACTTAGCGCCCAAAGCGATCCCTCCTGTGCTGGAAAAGGATGGGGGTGATGAAAATGCTGCTGAAGGTTGAGGGGAGTGGGCTGTGCCCACCTGGAGAGCTCACTCTGGGGTGGGTGGCTCTGTGTGTGCGAAGGGTTGCTGTGGCCCCGCTCCTGGGGTCTGCTTCAGAAGGGGAAACCTGCAGAACTGGCTGGTCCTGGCTGTGTTAATCACTAAATCATGGTCAAGAAGAAAGAACCTTTCTGAATCCTTAATGAATCGTAAAAGCCCTGGGATTCCCAAGGCTGCTGCAGTTTGTGTCAGATCTCTGAAGATACTACTGCCTGTGTTTTATAGAAATGCTTAAACAAGATGAAGGCTTTCTTTTGTATTTGCATGTTTTTTCTTTTGGTCCCAGAAGATTGTAGCTCTTGAGTGGGTGGTACAAACCAGTCCCTTCTGCTTCCTGCAGCAGGGAATGGCAGCATCTTATTTTTGCAAAAATCTGTCTCTCTCTCTCTTTGCAGGAGCTGACTTTACAGATGAATTTACTGGAACTGATTCGGAAGTTACAACAGAAGGAGTCTGAGTCTGAGAAGGCTTTTTCCTGAACAAGCGAATCTGCTGTTTGCTTTCCAGCATGTTCTTCTGACTTCCCTCTAAACTATAGGCCGTTCATGCATTTGCTTTATGTTGTGTTAGGCAGAGGGTACTGGCTGTAGGGGACAGAGCTGAGGCCCGCAGATAACCTTGGAGCCGAGCCGTGGCGCAGGGGGTGGTTGGGGAGGACCAGGCTACCTCTCCGGTCCTTGGAGGGAGACACGTGTGGCACGTCTCGCTGCGATGACAGAGGGCATTTCTCTGCCGCCGCGGTGGCCGTGAGGCTGCTCTGAGCCAAGAGAGACCAGGGCAGGCACCAAACCCAGCCCGGCGGTAGGTGGGTGCCCCCTGCATTGAGGTGAATCAAGCTGAGCAATGTGGTCTCCAAATTGCAGTCTCCTCTTCCCATTCAAGGAGGAGGAGCCAGTGTCTCTGGCAGGGGATGGCAGAGGGGAGTTCCTGTCCTACGGGACAGGGCAGCAAAGTGAACTCACTGTCCGGTGCCACCACGCCATGGGAGGTGGTTGGCAGCTGGGGGAAAAAAGTCCAAGGTTTATCTACAGGAAGATGCTTCCATGTGTGTTGAGGCAGAAACATCCTCTTCAACATGCAGACCCTTCCCAGAGAGACCTGCAGGCAGATGTCAGCATTGGCTTGGTTAAAGGAGGATTTCAGGCCTCTGCCCCGGCATTGCTGGACTGTGACATTCACAGTGTGCCCACCCGGCTTGGATCACAGAGAAGGCCTGAGAGCTTTTGCTTTGTTACTTTAAACCAGTTTCCAAATGGAGAGAAATAAAATACAGTTGTCCCATCCCTGCTTGATGAGTGTGGGGTTATGGGGGGCATTAGATTAAAGCTGGGGGGCAGGACGGGACACAACCTTGAGTGTTTGTGAGACCTTTCAGGGCTGAGCTGATGACCCCAAGAGCCTGACTCCCATCCCCAGCACTCGGTGCACAGCAGAAGTTGGGGGCAGTTGCTGAAAACTTGGTCAAAGATCACTTCAAGTGTGTAAGAAATGTGCTGGTGTGAAGCAGGATGGTGCAAGGGGGAGCCTGTGAGCAGTTCTGCTCCTCACGGATGAAGATCAAGTTGGAGAAGCTGTTGGGGGTGGCTCAAAGACCTGGGCCATCATGTGTTGAAGGGCTTTGGTTACACCTGAGACACTGTTTAAGGGTTTTCTGTCATTTCCAGAGCTGATGGCTGGAGAACCAGCTGAGGTATGGAACCCTGCAAAGGTGCTAGAAGAGTTTGTGGTGCCTTTTGGCACCTCCCTTGGTAGGGAGAGGTGGCCATGGAGGGGTTGCCCACGACTGTAGATGAACACACTGAAAATCAGCAGCTACAAAGACCAATGAGGCTTTTGCAAGTTCGGGGCTGAGACCCCTTCCTGTTGCCATCAGGGGTGGGTGTTTCCTCCCTGCAGGAACCTGCTCCCGTGGTTCAGCAGCTGGAGACAAGGTGTTGCTCTTGCTGGGTTTCCACCTCTTGGATGAATATTCCCGGCTGGAAAGTGGGCTGATGTGGCACCTGCCCAGGAACCACCTTGAGCTCTGTCACCACTTGGCCCTCGTCTGGGAGCCCTGCTAAAATGGCAAGGAGCAGAGTGGGCAACATGCCCCTCTGGAGACACCTTCATCCTTCCCCCGAGGACACATCCAGACACAGCAGTCTCTGGTGCTCTTCAGGTGAAGGAGGCATCCGTGTTCCTCTGCGTGTAGCCAGAGCTACTGGCAACGAAATTGCTTCCTGAGGTGAGGATGAGCAAGGCAGGGATGAATGAAGGATCCTATTGCAGGAAAGGAGACTGACTGCCAGGGTGCTGGGGGTAGCACTGCCTCCCAGGAGGACCCCCTTTCTTTGACACAAGCTCTCTTGCGTTGCTGGAGCAGTGGTGGAGCTGACGTGTGGCTGGAGAAGCTGGGGGGCAGCTCATGCAAGCGGGTCAGGGGGCTGCCAGAGGGTTCCCTGCCCTGTGCCACTGACAGTGGAGCCCACCTTGGTCCAGAGCTCCCCATGATCCAGGAGAGCTGGTCCCTGCCATCTCCGCCGCCATCTGTGCCAGGGACAGTTGGTGCCAGGGGCTGCCGGGAGCTGCTCTGGCACTGTCATGACAGCGGTAGCTCTCGGGTGTCTCACTTCCACCATCTGGTTGGGGACAGCTCTGCCAGGCAGCCCATCCAAGCTGAAATTTTCCATGCATGTGGTCAGGTTGTGTTCCAGAAGGGCTTTCCATGCAAGGTGGAGAGCAGCAGGGTGGACAGAAGTGGTTAACTAGTGGGAAAGGTTCTTTTAAGGGAATCTGGGATAGCTGATGATCTGGGAGCATTTCAGTGCAGGAAAGCTTGCTCAGCTCCCCCCCTCCCAAAAGCATTGATGGCTGGTACCACACTGAGATAAACAGATACTTTTCCAAGCCAGTGCCTTTGTGTCACTGGGGATGACACGTTCCTCCAGCCCTGGCTGTGCCCGTGCCACCACAGTTGTGTTATTGCTGGTGACGGCTGGGCTGGGGTTGGACCTGGGGCGAGTGATCCAAAGGAGCTGGAAGGGCTGCGAAGGCTTACCAGATTTTGGCTGTCTCAGCTCCTCGGCAGTTGGGGACCCCTTTGGTGGCAGCTCAGGCGGCTTCAGCCACCCACGGAGCTGGACCTCGAGTTCCGGCCCAAGTCTCCTTGTGAGCCAGAAGCAACGTGGAAAGGGGATGCATGAGAGAATGGAGTTCCCCATTCTGGTGTGAGGTGACCAAAGGGAGAGCTACAGCTCTGTACCAGCCCTGTATTCACCCATGAGCTGGAGGAAGGCGAATGATGGGTGGTAGAAAGGGAAAAGTCCTGTTTCCTGCTTCCTTTTTCTATACTTGGGCTGACGAGGAGGATAGCGAGGCCCTCTCCACATAGGGAGGTCAATTCAGCGTGGCTAAGGGTGAATTTATGCAGGTGGGAGCCCTTGGTGTTGCACGGTGTGTTCCAAAGTTGACCATTACCATTCAGGCGTGAACATTTGGGCTGGTGACTGATGGGTCCTTGGAAACATCAGCTTTAGTGCTCAGTAGCCATCGGAAAATCAAATAGGACATTAGGAAGGGAGCAGAGAAAATTAAAAACATTTTTCTCCTGTGAAATCACTGGTGCACCAGCACCCAAACACAGGTCCCCTCATCCCAAGAAGGGTGCAGGAGAGCTGGAATGCAAAGGCCCTGGGGACACCAGAGATCTGGACCACTTTCCAGCCAAGCTGGACTCCTCTATCTGAAAACGAGGTGACCAAGAGGGGACAGGGTAGAGATAAAACTAGAGGTGGCATGGAAAGGGACTTCACTCTCTTCAAACACGAGAGCTGGAGTGTTACATGAAGCCTGTAAAAGGCAGGTTTAGGTGGAGCAGGTGACTCCTTGAATCCTTGCCACAGAAGGCTGGAGAAGCAGAAGGTTTATGTTGGCTCAAGAGGAGGTGAGAAGCTTCTGGAAAAAAAAAAAAGCCTTTCAGGTTACAGATGGAGGTGATTCCACTTCACTGAGTTGCAGGGGCTTGGAGCCAGGTGGAAGCACCACATGCTTTCACTCAGGTTTTGTGCTCTTGCCCTGGGCTGCAGGACCCCGAGCTGGATAGGCCTGTTCAAGAGTTCCCCTTCCACTGCTGCCCCTCCAGCCATGGAATCACGGAATTGTCGGAGCTGGAAGGGACCTCTAGAGACCATCCAGTCCAACTCCCTGCCAAAGCAGGGCTGCCCAGAGCACATCGCTCAGGAGCATCCAGGCGGGGCTTGAAGATCTCCAGAGAAGGGGACTCCACACCCTCCCTGCAGCCTGTCCCAGGGCTCTGGAACCTCACCCCAAAGAGGTTCTTCCTCACATTGGAGTGGAACTTCCCATGGTCCAGCTTGTGCCCGTTGCCCCTCGTCCTGTCACTGGGAACCACCGAAGAGTCCGTCTCCATCCTCCTTCAACCCACCCTTCAGGTACTTGTAAACATAGATAAGGTCTCCCCTCAGCCTTCTCTTCTCCAGGCTCAAGAGCCCCAGCTCTCTCAGCCTTTCCTCAGCAGGGAGATGCTCCAATCCCTCCATCATCTTTGTTGCCCTACACTGGACTCTCTCCAGCAGTTCCCTGTCTCTCTTGAACTGGAGAGCCCAGAACTGGAGGCAGGATTCCAGTTGTGGCCTCCCCAGTGCAGAGCAGAGGGGCAGAATGCCCTCCCTCCACCTCCTGGCCACACTCTTCCCTACGCAGCCCTAGGATCCCATTGGCCTCTTGGCCACAAGGACACATTGCTGGCTCCTGGAGAGTTTGCCATCCACCAGGACCCCCAGATCCTCCTCCTCAGAACTGCTTCCCAGAAGATCCACCCCTAACCTATACTGGTGCCTGGGGTTCTTCCTCCCCAGGTGCAGGACCCTACATTTGCCCTTGCTGAACCTCATCAGGTTCTTCTCTGCCCAGCTCCCCAGCCTGTCCAGGTCACGCTGGATGGCGGCACAGCCCTCTGGAGTGTCGGCCAGCCCTCCCAGTTTGGTATCATCAGCGAACTTGATGAGGATACGCTCTGTCCCCTCGTCTGGGTCGTTGATGAATAAGTTGAACAGGACTGGGCCGAGTATGGACCCCTGGGGGACACCGCTGGTTACAGGCCTCCAACTTGACCCTGCTCCATTAAGGACAACCCTCTGAGTTCTGTCGCACAGCCAGGACTCAGTCCACCTCACTGCCCCCTCATCCAGCCCACACTGCCTTCATTTTCTAATCGGGATGTTATGGGAGACAGTGTCAAAAGCCTTGCTGAAGTCAAGGTAGATGGCATCTGCTGCTCTCCCCTCATCCAGCCATCCAGTTAGAGCGTCATAGAAGGCTATCAGATTGGTCAAGCATGATTTATCCTTGGTAAATCCATGTGGACCACTTCCAATAACTTGTTGATCTTTCGTGTGTTTGGAGATGACATCCAGAACGAGTCGCTCCCTTATTTTCCCAGGGACAGAGATGAGACTAATTGGCCGGTAGTTCCCTGGGTCCTTTCTCCTTCCCCTCTGCTCCATCCTGACAAACACCTGAGTGCAGAGGAGGTCCCTGTCCTCCAGGCAGCAGAGCACAGGGGGTAGAGGCAGGTTCCTCCTTGGAGTAGCTGCGGAGCAGAGGAGCAGGGTCTCAGCCCCTCGCTCAGAGCCGCATCCAGCAGCCGGGCTCTGGGGTAACTGGTCCCTCGCCGGTGGCTCAGGCCCCAGCGCTCGTCCCAGCACGTCCCCCCCCCCCCCCCCCCGGGCGCCACCGCCGCCCCCCCAGGCACCCAGTTTGTCAGCCCCTCCGCGGGGCCGGGGGGGGCTTCTCCCCCGTTACCCCAACCTCCGCCCCCGGCTCCGCTGGGGACGCGGCCGGTGCCGGTGCCGGCGCTGCCCTGGGCAGCATCCCCGCCCCGGGGTCTCGGAGCTGCCGGGCCCCCGGGGCGCTCCCCGCAGCCGCCGCGCCGGGCCCCCGCCCTTCCGCCGGGGGAGGCG